CGTCTTCAAAAAATCCATTATTACTGGGTTTTCGACTAAGGAAAGTTTTCGGAATAAAACTCTACATTTCCAAGTTTGTCGACAGCGATTCGTGCTCGATTCGAGCTCAATTTGAGCTCGATTTGTTTTTTGCGCCTTTTTTCGATTTACGCGCCCAACGCTGTCGGACTATAGCCACCGTATTAATTTATTCAACAAAATTTTACGACTTGTTTTTTTCTTATTTTCACAAAGTCCTTTTTTTGGTAAATCCGTTTTATCAACTTAAAAAACCCTTCTCACGGTTACCGTATGAAAACACCCTACGGCTTGTTGTATACAAGACCACTACCAAGGAAACTCCTGCCCCCAATAATCCCAAAAAGCGTAATGAAACCGTCAAGCTTCAATTAAAGTGTTGGCTGTCGTCATTTAGGTCCCCTCTCTCACACTCTCCAAGCTATTTGCACAAATGCACACATGACAATTCGACCATCACAAACGAGGTCGTCTCGACTGCTTCACAGGGTGTGCGCGCAAGGGTGGTTTGCGCGTAAATTGGATTTACCTCGCTCCTTCCTCCCACCCAGCCCAACGTCCTCCCTTGATTAGAAGAAGTAAAACCACCACGGGGGTAGAAGAAATGATTGACAAATCTAAACGGTCCGCCTACAGGTAACACGTTTGATCCCGTTCCTACTCCGCGCGTATCTGAACCAAGAGCCAGGAGGTAATTGAGAAGAAGACAATTCGATCGCTGGGACAATACGTTTATTTACTTGACGTTTCTAGATTCGTTGCTAACTCTAATCCATACCTTTTGCTGCTATCTGGCTATGTATTTGATGACGAATCCGCGACGGATCTCTAGACGTCAGGCAAATGAATATATTGTCCCAGCGATCGAGTCGTCTTCTTCTCAATGTCACGGTCTGAAACTCAGTACTAGATAGCAATGAGGCACTACGTCAATTGGAAACTGTCAAAGTCACGAATCATGAGGCATCCTTATCGATCCAACCGCGTCACTTTTAGTATAATGAATAATGGGACGATTTGACATAAGGATAAAGTTTGTAGTACCGGCTTCACGCGCACGCGCGCAAATTTATCTAACTTTTTTCCCTTAACTGATTGAACTTAATTCCGAGAGGATATACTTAGAATCCACCTACCACAAGAATCAGCGCGCGGATTTACTGTGAGTATTGCGATGATCTAATTCAAATCAAGGGCACAATTTAACATTTGAACTAACGATGCTTAACTGCATCCTTTTCCATAATTTTTGCACATATGTTTTAAATAACGTAGCCAAGGAAGTGGGAGTTCGAAAGATTGGAATAAATGCTTTTGGTTTGCTTAAAATAATCAGAAAATAAATCCTAAACCATATTGTAAGATAAGAAAATGAGAACATTGGTCAAGCCCCAGAACGGTTTGCTTATTATCCTGAGTCAAATTTGGGCGCCGAATCAATACCTTAATTGATTACTTTCCCATTCGTTGATTTAAACCTGGTCCACGGACGGAAACTCAATCAAGCAATCCATGTATAGATTTAGCGCTAGCGTACAGAGGCCTGCACAGTCACCTTCAGGCGGACGTTACTGGTAGTCGATTGACTTGAACACCCACCCTTCAAAATTGTCGCAGTGTTGTTGCTGCTATCTCCGATGATGAACACCTGCACGAGGTTAAAAGGCCGGAATAATAAACAAACGGTTCCTGTACTCAACCAGTCTTAACCTTAGCTTATGCAAATACCTGAAACGCAAAACTTTGCATCCATTTATATTGTGAAAAAAATAGGACTGGGATATATCCCATGGGAAAATCTCCCGTTCAGACGACCAACAGCTGAATTTCGCCTACCTGACCACAGCGAAACCAAGGTCGCGGGCTCGATACTAGAGTGAGGCACCACTTGAGGTTGGGTATGACCGGCTGATGATGGCTAGTGAGCCAAAAATGGTCACTCCGGTCTCCCTTATCACTGTCGGTAATATCATTCTGCCTATATTATTAGCCGCCGTGCGGCGTGGCTCGAGAAGGAGCCCCAAATGCACCAAGCGGGACGAGTGCAATCCGTTAGCGATCAATAAACGTCCATAAACGTGTGGCACTAGCTCCTGACCTAAACTGACGAGACAACGAGCCCGTGGCCTAATGGTTAACGCGTTAGCGTTCTGATCGAAAAGTTGCTGCTTCGGGACTCGGGTGGGGCACCACTTGGGGATAGGTATGACTGGTCTATGACGGCTAATGAGCCAGAAATGGCCATCTGAGTTTCCCCTGTCTGCAACAGACCATTCCGGTATCCTGAACACTCCCGAAAGGAGCCCTAGGAACAACAAAAACCGGACACTAATCGCACAATTAGGTTAGTATCCTGGTAATCTCTTCCCCGCGACATCAAAGCCCTGTCGGTACAAGTCAGCTTTAATGTAGCACAACACAGAATGCCAAATGCGTACCTGTAAGGGCGCTCTCGTTGACAATGCAGTCACCACTGAGGAGCAGCACATCCGCGTTCATTTCACATCCGGTCTTGGGTATGCAGATGATGTCGCCAGGCACCAGACTTGCAGAAGGCACATAAGAAGGCGTTGCTAAAGGCGGTAATAGTGCAAATGGATTAGCCGGCAGGCACAAAACCGTAAGAACACACTTAATCGAAAGGAAACCGTTAAGCGAGCAAGTATATATAGAGAGTAAAGGTCAATAAAAAATTAACCAACCGTTTATTTACAAATGTTTCGACGTTTATAGTGCGTCAGGGCAAAAAAGTGCAAACTAGGGGATTCTGCGAGAGTGCTCGGCCGAACGGCTGTCTTGAATAAATTATAGGGCAGAACATCGTGCAAGGCTAGCAAAGTAGCCACCATATTTGTTTTAAAAACAGCTTAGGGAAATGGAAAGTAAATTAATCCCGCCTAACTTGCTTTGAATTTTTCATACCCACATAATTGCCATTCCAGGTGTTGTGTGAAGACAACAGGCAGGAAAAAGCTGCATTTTCTTTAGCCTGGGAAACCCCAAGTCCGTGTGGAGTCCGAAATCTAACAAACGCGAGTGAGTTTTGAAAGACTAAAGTGGACAGTCTTTAAAGGTAAATGGACGTCGTCAAAGTCCCAGCCAGAACGAGAAGTCATTGACAGAAGAAGCCACACTTGTCCAAAACTTCATTGGTAGATAGCGAGGGAACCGAGTAAATTAAACAGGAAATGCGCAGTGTCAACCTCACTCACTCTTTATTCTTTCTCCCCCCTCCTCTTCACCGAGGAAGCAAAACTCGGACCACTAGACCTGGGTTTAAATAAACCGGTGTCGAAACGAGCTTGAAAAGATTCCATTTCAAAGAAATTGCTCCAATTTTGCGCATTAATTTCCTCGGTATTATAATAAGGACAGATTAAAACTGAAGTTCATATACCAGAAAGCACACGGTAAACTCTGGGAGGAGAACCCGCTGTTGAGCCGAGCACCTCGCATTTGCATTAGGCAGCGGTACAATATCGAGGAGACAGGCCTTTCTCTTTTACCTCTGCTGTTGGTATGGGGAATACTTACGTAGTGTATACTACTGATTAACTTTTGTGTATTTTATAAATATTACGTAGTTATACGGCAGTAGCTGGTGAATTTATCCTTAATTATTCATATCAAGTTTCGGGCCGAGCCCAAAAAGGCCTGTTTCGAAGGATTTACTCCAAGTTCGCGCGCTAATTTTCACGGAATTTAAACAAGAAAGAAGTTTAAGGCCCCTAGAACCACACAGACGAGACCTTACTATATCGGATATCACCTCAGCCAGAGTCAACATAAAGCTGCCTAGATAAGGGGTCATTAAACGCAGGCTTTTTGCCCCCTGAAATAGAGCTATCTCGGCAGATGAGAGCCTTAAAAGTCGGTATTTTGAGGGCACAGGGGCGCGTCAGGTTTAGTACAACAACTTCCGTGTATGTGTGTTTGCCTGTCTGTCTGCCTCATTTCCACTTTGTATCACTTCTCCATGGCAAGATCGGGGTCAGCGCACTGACTGATCAAACATTTTGATTAGACTGGCTTATAACATCAGTTCCTCTGGGGTAAACCTTTACTGTTGGCTGTATACATAGTTTGGAATCTCTTACATACTCGTTATTGTCTTCTCGGTGAAGCCTGCGCACATCTGTGTCAGCTGGGCCCCTTTTTTCGACCTGCGTATTGGTAGAAGGAATTGCGCCAGATGCTTGAAGTAACTATGGGCCATGTGATAGGTGCGGTCGGCGGCAATTCCGAAACGTCAGGCCAATCAACTTCTTGCTCCCGCATCATTGCTTCCCACATCATTTATCTCTTAGTCATACCTTTGATATATGAGTAAGGCGCAGTGCTTATTTGTTGCCTACTACGCCAGGTGCCCGATTAGGGTGCCGAGGGGAAGCACGCCAGGTGTGCTTCATAGTTTCTGAGATTCAACGCAGTGAAATATCGCCATGAGACTTGGCTCTAGTTCAAAAGAGATCAGTTAGCACCGTAACCCAAAACTTACACGGTCCTGTAACAATGCTCCCCCTCCCCAATCCCCTAACTGCTTCAGTGCTCAGGTCGAGAGGTGGCAAACACATTTATGAAACAAAACATTCACCTGCTTGCAGGTGTGTTTCTTTGCATCTGCCTTACAAATGAAAATTAGGCTCGAGATTGCAAAAGATTGCCACGGTCCCAGCAAAGGCTATTTTGGCTCTAGATTCTGCCCTTGAACGCCGTGAGTCCTGATGTGAGTAATGAAGGCTGGGGACAGAGTTTAAAATTTCCCCTCCCACGTGGCTCAATCCGCGTCTTTTGTGTGCATAACCGCGCCTACTCTCGCAGCCGTAGCAGTAAAACGTGTCGGAGTTAACACTCCGTGACGACTAAAACGTGCAGGGTGGCTCCGCCTTGCGACTGGGCAGGCGTCAGTGGCAGTCGTCTCTAGCGTCGTCACATCATCACGAAGTGTGCACGCGATAAGCAGAACCTCCTGCGAACACCAAGATAGTGTTTCTGCTCACACTGATCACTCGCATAAGAGAAAGCCCGGCTAATGGAAAATAATGACCAGCAGACACACACAGAGATAAATAGAGTGAGAGTTAGAGAGAGCGCGACTCACGGAGAGAGCGAGTGTATGTATTAAATAGAGAGATAGCGGGTGAGAGTTAAGATGGACGAGCGAGTAGGTGAGGGCGAAAGGTAGAATGGGTTTGAGAGTAAGAGGGAAAATGCGACAGAGGGAGCGTGGCCTTGAAGTACAGAGAAAGGGAGCGAGTGTGAAGGATA